TCTTTTTACCTTATTACACCAAATGGAGTTGTTGGATGTGAGTGTGCTAATTGAATAGTAACACTGAAAATAAAGGCATTGAGAACAGTTTAAAATAATAAAACTTTTGACATGCAGTGTATTTTCTGCCTGAATTTTGCCCAACAGGTTAATTTTTTTGCTTTACTGTCAGAACCTCCTGAAATTCCACTTTGGCACTGCAGGCAATCAGGGATTGTTCTGTTTCACTGTCACTCAGCGAGAACAGGCAGAAATGTGTGATGGCGAACAGCCAGCCTCCTGCAGGACGGTCCATCTCTGCTGCCTATTAAAGGGTGTGGTGGAACATTTGGCTTCTGTCACAAGCGGCTTTGCCAAAAACAAATCCCAAACTGTTCAGGAAGGAAGGCTGCTCGGGAGAGCCCATGTTTTGGGAGAGCCTGAGTGGATGGTGTGTGTGTGGGTGTGTGTGTGGGTGTGTGTCAGTTTTGCCCCAGATTCAGTAAACTCACGCGAGGTTCCCCATCCTCCTAGACTCGCTGGCTGGCTATCAGTGGAGCTAAGCACAGTGCCTATACTTAATTCATACTGACCTGCATTCATTTTGTGTTGTTAGAATTATGAATAGCCATTATGATTAGCCAAAATAAAGTTCTCAGGCTATTTTCAAACTTAATAAATATATATATATATATATATATATATATATATATATATATATATATATATATATATATATATATGTGTGTGTGTGTGTGTGTGTGTGTATGTGCATATGTATATGTATATATATGATGTGGTGGTGGTGTGTGTGTGTGTGTGTGTGTGTGTGTATGTGCATATGTATATGTATATATATGATGTGGTGGTGGTGTGTTAGTGTGTGTTGCGCTGGTCTGAGTGGATCAGACACAGCAGTGCAGCTGGAGTTTTTAAACGTTGTGTCCACTCACTGTCCACTCTATTAGACAATCCTACCTTGTCCGTCCACCTTGTAGATGTAAAGTCAGAGACGATAGCTCATCTGCTGCTGCACAGTTTGTGTTGGTCATTCTCTAGTCCTTCATCAGTGGTTACAGGACGCTGTTGGCTGGATATTTTTGGTTGGTGGACTATTCTCAGTCCAGCAGTGACACTGAGGTGTTTAAACACTCCAGCAGCACTGCTGTGTCTGATCCACTCAGACCAGCACAACACACACTAACACACCACCACCACATCAGTGTTACTGCAGTGCTGAGAATGATCCACCACCCAAATAGAGTACCTGCTCTGTGAGGGTCCATGGGGGTCCTGACCACTGAAGAACAGGGTAAAAGGGGGCTAACAAAGTATCAGAGAAACAGATGGACTACAGTCTGTAACTGTAGAACTACAGAGTGCACCTATATAGTAAGTGGAGCTGATAAAATGGACAATGAGGTGGTCATAATGTTATACCTGATCAGTGTGTGTATATATATATGTATGCATGTATCATGCTAGCATTTATTTGCGTGTTGTTGACTTTGCCTTCAACTTGAGCCTTAAGTTTCTTTGAGAATTTCTGTAAAGTTTCAGTTATTTAGTCCATGTTCTCAAAGGCTTACTTCTTTAGCAGTTACAGCAGCACGCCTGAGCACATTAGCACATGGCACTGGGTGCTTCCTCCTCCATTATTCAATTAAAACCTCCATTCTAGTCTCGGACTAAAGCATTGCACACCCGGGCAGCCTTTCCTGAGCTAATTTGGCTTTATGTGCCCCCTGACCTTCCCCTGAATCTTTCGCCGTGGTGATTAAGAATAAATTGCTGTATTGTGCAAAAAGCAGGGGTTGAATACAGTAAAGCTCATTAATAAGTAACACCTCTTATTTGATCAGTCATGCAGAAACACGACATGTAAATTTCATTTCTGTACCTTCGCTCTGATGAAATATTAAACAGGTGTGTGTGTGTGTGTGGTTTTTGTTTTGTACCCATTCAGGAAACCTGGGTGTGATCTGAGACTCTGAGCTCTCTTTTATCCCGCATGTAGATGCAGTCACTAAAATAGCTTTATATTATTTGAGAAATATCGCTAAAGTTTTCTCTCTCAGAGCGACGCAGAGAAACTTGTTCATGCATTTGTTCCATCAGAGTTGATCACTGTAATGATCTGTGTACTGGACTTCCTAATAAAACTATACATCCTTTACAACTGGGGATGGGACAGGAGGCAGCAGTAATGCGGTCACTGTACCAGACTGCAGTACTAAAGAGGGAGCTAAGCCATAAGGTGAAGCTCTGTGTTTACCGGTTGGTCTACATCCCGACCCTCACCTATGGTCATGAGCTGTGGGTAATGACCGAAAGAATGAGATCGCGAATACAAGTGGGGGAAATGAGCTTTCTTCGTTGGGCTACACTCTACTTGATAGGGTGAGGAGCTTGGTTATCCGGGAGGTGCTTGGAGTAGATGTACCAGGTGTACCAGGCACGGCCTACTGGGACAAGACCCCGGGGTCATCCTAGGACCTGCTGGAGGGATTATATCTCCAAGTTGGCCTGGGAGCGGCTTGGGGTCCTCGGGAAGTTGGAGGAAGTTGAAGGGGGGCAGGGTAGTCTGGGATTCTCTTCTCTCCCAACTGCTACTGCAACCCTATCTGGACTAAGCGATTAATGATGATGATGATGATGATGATGATGATGATGATGATCCTTTACAACCCGTATAAAATGCGGCAGCGCGCATCCTAACAAAAACAAAACAGCATTCAGGATAGATGTTAAAGTTCTGCTACTAGTTTTTAAGGCTCTAAATGATCTTAAAGCTCTGTTTACATCACAGAGTGTCTGTCTGTTTATGTTCCAGCACGTAATCTAAGATCTGCAGATACTGACCTTCTGTAAAATACAGAAAATGTGGAGAGACTCGCTCAGTTATTCTGCTTCTAAACTGTGGAACTCAATTCCACCTTTTATTAGACAGTCAAGCTCAGAGCTCACTTTTAAGAAGCATCTAAAGACGAATCTCTTTAACTCAGCATTTAATCAAAACTCTACGTCTCGTGGTTTTTATCTTCTACTTTGATCTGTGTCATTTTCTTCTGATTCAAAATAAATACTTATAATTTATTGTATAACTACGTTTTATCACCTGTCTGTAAAGCACTTTGAGCTGCCACTGGCATAAAAAAGTGCTATATAAATAAAAATGATGATTATTATTATTATTATTAATTTAATTTTTCTGGGGTTTGATAGGTGAGAAAGGACAGAAGTCCTCTCCTTCTAATGAAAGAGTTCATCACTCATTGCTGCAGGTATTGGATTATAGTCATGCTATATAGAATAGGATGGTTTGAACAAATCACAAATCTGAGATTAGCATGTGTATGTTGTATGTTCCAATGCCAAAGCCTGGGCAGACTGGTGTAAATATCCCCACAATTAAACTGGAGCAAGAGGATCACATGCTTGGCTTTGTTGAAACTCCTTTGAACAACTCTGTGATTAATTGGCCGTCCAAGATCTGCCCCACTGAACCTACAATGAAATTGTAGTGCATTTCAGTTCAAATATTGTAGCGCTCAATGTAGTTACGTAATAGCTGAAGTTTGGGGGAAGAACATGCCTGAAACCCCTCCTTTTTCCAATCTAACGCCCTACAAATTCACATCCTCACCTTCCATTCCCGTGACGAAGTGTTCACAATCCTCACCACCACCCCATCTCCTCCCTGTTTCTCAGTCCTACATCAGTCCTGATATAGCTATGAGGGGATCTGGCCTTCTAGCTACAGGCCGAAGCTGCCCAGAGCTCTCAGAGTTTCTCAGAGTTCTCCCCCCTCCCTCAGTCAGTCTTGCCTCATACTACCACCACCATGTTGAAGACGTGGTCTGAACTCACACACTGATATTAAAAGAGACACTGCTTTGGTGCAAGTCATGGTGCTTTATTTTCCAGCTGTTCTTGACCACAGCCGTGCCATACATTAGCAGAGATTATCACTAACAGATCACTCTGGGGGCAGGCATGGGCTGGAGGTTAGGGGTCCAGCCTAGCGACCGGAAGGTTGCCGGTTCGAGCCGAAAGTACGTGACTGAGGTGTCCTTTGAGTAAGGCACCTAACCCCCAACTGCTCCCTGGGTGATGTCTGTTAAAGCACAAAACACTGAAGGCAAACAGTTTCCATTAGGTGGAACTGAGTGGCTCTGAAATAACTTTTTGCAAACAGTTTAAAGTTTCAGTTTAAGATTTATTTGCAACTTCGTTACAAGTTTAAACTTAATAACTACTTGCTTTAAACACAGGTTCACATCTGCATTTGCATCTGTAGGGCTCTAATCATAAACACAAATTAGCCAAAACAAATTTGCTATAAAATGAAATGTGTTTGTATAAATTCAGAACAAAGACACGTCAGTCACAACTGCATATGAGTACATATTTCTATATTGTGGTCTATTTACACAAAGTTAGGTTAGTTCATCATTTGTGTTGAATAGACTCTCCCAGAATTTTACGCTGCTGCACTGACGTTGAACCGTGTGCTGCACTGGGTCGGTATGTCCAACAGGTCAAAACAAGCTCAAAACAAAGTGACCCCTGTGCCCTGATTGGATTTTGACATGTTATGTTTTTATACACAGATAAACCAAAAGGAACGACAGATTTCTCATAATGTAGCGGAGTAAAAAATGTAGTGGAGTGAAAGGAAAAAGTCGCCCAAAATGGAAAAACTTCAGTAAAGTACAGATACACAAAAAACTACTTAAGTACAGTAACGAACTACATTTACTTCGTTACTGTCCACCACTGCTAATGCTCTTGTGGCTGAATGCAATCAAATCCTCACATCCAGTGATAAAAGGCTCCCCAGACAAATAGAGGCTAGTACTGCAGCAAAGGAGGACAAACTCCCTTTTAATGCCCTTGAATGCACAAGAAATGAGCAGGTGTCCTGATACTCCTGGGCAGAGAATGTTGATTACAAGACAAACTGACCAACATTCAGTCTCTCTCTCTTTCTCTCTCTCTCTCTCTCTCTCTTTGAACAGGTCACTATCTTCATCTATACAGATCTGATGTTGGTGACGAGGGAGGATGAGCCAGGCCGCTGCAACGTGTTGCAGAATCCTCTCTTCCTCAAACAGCTCCGGCTGCAGGACGGTGAGTGACACTCAGCACACACATCCACATTAACCCCTTTTACCGTTAGGCGTTAATCCGTTTTGATTGACCATTAAACTGAAACCCTCCCTTGCTGCTTGTTAATTGCTTGAGATTCGTGATTTCTCTATCTTATGCAACAGCACGCTTTGGGTTGTTTGTTTCCCCCCCTGAGGTTTGTTTGTTATCAGTCAATCTCAAAGCCGTCACAACAATGAAGCGTTACATGCTATTCAGCAATAGGGTAGATCTAGGGGTAGATCTAGTCAGCATGCTGCCTGTAAAAGATAACCGATGCACATTTTGAGACTGAATTTCAATGACATGCTTATTCTGCTGGTACTGAGGTACGTATGTGTGTCATAATATTCCTTGTACTTTCATTTTGCTGCAGATTTCATTGATGCAGTTGAACAGCTGTTTAAGCTGCTGTCAGACTGAACACAGAAAAACTAACCACTGTGCTCTCAAATACATTATTTTGCATGGGAATTTGAGTTCCTTTGCGCTGAGCTCAGACGGAGATTTTGAATAAATATTCTGGTAACACTTTCTATGAATGTCACCTTTGTAAGCATCTATAAACACATTCATAACATGTTAGAATGCATTCATAAGGCATTATAAACATGGCTATAAATATTTATAAAAATGCATTACACTTTATAGCCATGCTTATTATGCATTATATTCAGAATTGTTAACATAATACATTATAAGTACTGATCATAACAAGTTATAAGAGCTCATAAGTTGTGTTTGTCCGCTCTAAGTAAAGTGAAGCGTACTGTACTAAAGCCTCCTCCAGTGTTAAGAGTGAGGCTTCAAGTTGAAGTATTTACTGAAGGATTTACTGAAACACTAAAACATTCACAGTAAAGCACATTACAGGCTTCAAATGTCAGAGTTTAAACTAGAGCTGCCATCAGTGTTTTACCCAATGTGGGAAAGGTAATGTACACCACCGTTAGCTTGGTATTTGTCTTTGCTTTACACTCTCCAAGCTGGGACTGACTTCTTTGGCACTGACATTATAAGATGTTATTAACACTATTTATAATGCATTATATTAACAATTCATAATGTATAATAAACATGGCTATAAAGTGTAATTCAGTGTAATTCTTTTTTATAAATATTTATAACCATGTTTATAATGCCTTTTAAACACATTATAACATGTTATAAATGTGTTTATAGATGCTTACAAATGTGACATTCATAGAAAGTGTTACCAATATTCCCTTAATCAGTAATCAAATAGATTAGATATTGTAATCAATAACCAAATAGGTAGTACTGGCTAACAGAGAATATTAATTCTCTCACAAAGGGTCGGCCTTAGTTTGTCTGCATAGGAGATTCTAGACACTGGAAAGCAGCTGGGTACACAGAGAGGCCTGTGTGTACCTAATGACCCAGTGAAGAGAGGGACAAGTTGACATTGAAAGGTAAAGCAGACTGGTAAAAACCGGTTGGAACCAGATTTTAGGAGTGAGCTCAACATGCAATGGCCAAAGAGATGTACCTATTAGAGAATGAGCTAATATCATAATTTGAGAAGTAAGGCGGGGTGATATCAAGTTACCCCTGATAAATGGTATAAACTGTTGTTTGGAACACTGTTTGTGCAGCTGGGTCTCGAGATCCTGTGTCACCTGATGCTGAAATAAAGAAGAAGCCTTTTTCCCTCTTCCACAAACTCAGCGTCTGAAGGCTCTTTACTTTTTGACATCTTTTGAGAACTTAGAGCAGTTATTAGTGAAAGTGTTTAGCCGGTAATAAAAGATTTCTATTTTATTCATAATATTATGTTGGAGGCCTGGGGTTGAAGGGTCCTGACAGAGCCAAATGAAGTCTGTCAATGCCCACATGCAAGGTCATCTAAAGATAAAATGTTTTTAGATTTTTGATGCTCTACAGGCAGACCTCGGCCTGTAAGAGCTCAGTAGGCCTATCTGTGCAGTTCCCTTACATGAATGAACTAAATTTAATATTATATATATATATATATATATATATATATATATATATATATATATATATATACACACACACACACATATATATATATATATATATATATATATATATATATATATATATATATATATGAGCATGAGAAGAATCATTACCTACCACAAAAACTTTTAAAAATCTGCCATAAAAGCAGATTTCAACCCATTTTGACCTTCTAGATTTGTAGTTAATAGCATTAACCTCTTATTCTCCAGGGCATATTTTGGTTTGTCCATCTGAATTTACGTGACCAAATCATCAGGCAAATTATTCAGTAACTGCATGAAATAAATGTAAATTTTTATTTTATTTATTTATTCTTTTTTGTAAAAATTAACAAAAAATGTGTTTTATGATCACACATGTTGCTATATGCTTACAATTTACTGCTGAAAGCCAAAAATCTTAAACACTCTTTGTATTTTTTTATAAAAATCATTTTTACAGAGCAGATCACTGAAGAGACGCCATCTGTTTATAGTTTATAGCCCAGATTTGTGGAAAAATGGGTCGACTTTCAGTAGAAAAAAAATTGTGAGTTCAGCTTCTTTTATTATAAAGGTTTAAAATTACATCACCCATCTATTTGACTGGAAAGAAGACAGTTACAGCTCTCATACGACCCCCACCTTTAGAATGTAGCTTATGAAATATGAAAGTTATGAAGAATATGACGAAGTGCGTTTTGGAACCCCTGGTGGTCTGAAGGAGTTGAAGAGCCACGAAGGGGTAGTCTCTGTTGTTCACCCACCAGTTTTTCATGTCTAAAAAGAAAGATGCTCACATGGAATCATGTTTAAAAACCATAAAGCAGTGGGTAAGACCTGGTGAATACGTGGATATTTAGACTGAATGACGGCCAGGCCCTAGTGCTGCGTCTGCTTTCCTCCCAGTTGAATAAATAGCCTGCTGGGCTGGGACGCTACTCTGAGAGTGTCTTGGCTCTAAGCATTACTAATGCATCCACTGAAGTAAATTTGTCTTGCTGCAAAAGACAGAAAAAAGGAAGTATAGAAAACCACCACTGAATGACAATGGGCTGTGGTTAGCTGTTTGCACTCAAACTGAATTCAGATATGATCGATGAGAAGTCTTTAAATATCCTAAATATGGTCATGCAGTGGGTGTGCATAATGATCTCCTGTGTGCATTTGAGCTCAGTTATGTTTTTAGAAAAGGTGACTTCTGGTATGTCCACGCTGCTGAAAGAGAGATCTTAAGATAAACAAATAAGAGGTTCAGAAGTTCAGAATGTTCTTCAGTGCGAGGGATGTTTTTATCTGGTGTTTTCCCTCCAGGTTCCTACTTATAGAGTATTGGCTGATACCCATCTGGTCGAGTATTTGAATTTTCATAGATTATACAGCATAGTAAGATATCGCTGCTGTCAGAAGAAAACCTCGTATCTCCATTTTTGTCATTTTTTTAGTTTTTGACATAATTTGAAAATGCTTGTTGCTCAGCACTGCTGTGTCTGATCCACTCAGACCAGCACAACACACACTAACACACCACCACCACGTCAGTGTTACTGCAGTGCTGAGAATGATCCACCACCCAAATAGTACCTGCTCTGTGAGGGTCCATGGGGGTCCTGACCACTGAAGAACAGGGTAAAAGGGGGCTAACAAAGTATCAGAGAAACAGATGGACTACAGTCTGTAACTGTAGAACTACAAAGTGCACCTATATAGTAAGTGGAGCTGATAAAATGGACAATGAGCGTAGAAACAAGGAGGTGGTCATAATGTGATGCCTGATCAGTGTATTTCATTTATTTATCATTTATTTACATTTTTTTTGTTTGTGTTTAAGTTGATTTATATTTAAAGTTCAATGATATCCGCTATTAAAAAGGCAAGATGTGACATTTGGAGTAACACTTGGCTCGATCGCTTACTTTAAAATGCTGAAGTAATGTCCCTTTAACTTTGATATGTGCGAAGTCTCTGAATTAGTAATGTTTGTATCTTCTTGTGTAAAATTAGCATTTTAATAGTGTTGTTATTGTTGTTGTGAATATGATGCAGTTTGAATGCGCTGTAACGTGAGGTAACCTGCTCTTCAGCTTTCTCTCAGGCCTGCATGGCACGATTGGTAAAGCAGAAAATGTCCATGGTGGTTTTACTTTTAACCAGTTAACACTCACGAGTGAAAACTGTGGCCAGAGTGTGTGTTGTGCTTTCTTCTGGTGGCAGCCTGCTTGTGGAAAGCAGCAGAAAATAGACTCGAAACACCAGCACTTTAAAAAAGGTTCTGCACTGCATCAGTAATCAGTATGTGATTAAAGATTATATTTGAAGTGTCTGCATTTTATGCATTTTACTGCACTATATAAACAAATCTAAATAAACAAATGTAGCTTTTCTCTGTGGATGTAATCCCAAATTCTCAAATTTATAACTGTTTATATATCAGTATCAGCAGATATATACATGAAAAATAATGGATATTGGCATCAACCCATAATTCCCATATCGGTGCATTCCTAGTTTACAGTTTAGACATAATTTGAAAATGCCTGTTGCTCTTTACATTGAGTGTAAATTTCATAAAGAATGGACCAAAAGAAACAGCTCAAAATGACTTGGGAAAAAATGATTTACATTAAAAGTAAAGTAAAAAAGTTTTTTTCCTCCTCCTGTAAAGTCACCATTTTGGAGATAAAAGCATTAAAAAATGCTTTTATTTAGTTTTTAACTAATGCTGTGCTGTAACCTGAACTGACCATTGTTTATTCAAAATTTGCAAAAACTTCAGCAGTAAAATTCAGGCACTTGTAGTAGACCTTGAAATATTACATGAATACTTGAAATATTAAATTTTAAACGTCCCCAGGATCTCAGTCTTTTAAACCTACCTGTTTGCTTGAACTGGACACCTGGTGTCCTTTCTGTCCTGCAAGCTCATTAATACCTGGGCTCAATTTCTGAGCTGCTGAGCTGATGTTAAATGTTTGTATTGGTTGACTGAAATGCAGT